GCCGGGGCTTCTTGAGTCCAGATTCATGGTTTCTTTGCCAATATAGTTCCCTCAAAAACTTAGGTCTTTGATTCATTTGTTTCCAGTCAGTTCCATATGCCAGTAAACACACACAGTTCTTTCCCAAGCATAGTCCTCGAGCTTGATTTCTTTCTTTGCCTCCACATCTCGTTTTCCGCTAATACAAGCCTCCTGGAGGCCACATGAAGTAACACCAGGCCAGTGGGTCCTAACTGTGGTTGCACAGCACCATAACTGTAAGAAACTATGTCCAGGTTTCGAATCCCCCACACCCACTTAACCAGAAGTCACACAGGCAGGGTCCAGAGACCCTGATGAGCAGTAAGAACAGGACCCAGCACTTCCTGCTCATCTGTGCTCAGAATGGCATCCACTCTTTCAACAGAGTTTACCGGGCTTTGCTGCGATAAGCCTTCCTCCATCACCTTTCCCGCTCTTGGTTTAGATGTGGCTCACCAGCCAATTCTTTCCTAAGCTCACGTCTTTCTTGTCATATGACCAATACCACCCAGTCTCTCGACCCTTTCCAACATCCGTCCTAGACAGCAGCGGGGGTGAAGCGTGCCTTCCCAGCAACCACAGATGACAGATTTACCAAGCTGGCTACCAACCACGGTGTAGCCTGAGTTCTGCTCTCACCCTCCAACATCAGCGTCTTCATCAGTTGTGCCTGACAGTTAACCCACTGACACAGATTTTAAGGTTTGAACAGAACCTAGTTTCTAGTACTAACTACTGCAGCACAAACTAACACTCAAAGGTCCTCTTTTGCTCCCATCAAAGTCAAGTTGTTGGAATATTTTTCCTACCCATCATTCAAGTACCCGTTTCCTTCATTGATTTTCCCCCAACTCTGGCTCTTACTGGGATTCTCTCCACTGAGATGGAGGGAAGACACCGCGCTGTCACAAGGCATGGAGAGAGCTTTACAGGGTCCTTACACAAAAGGGGACCAAGCAAAGTCATCCAGGTGGGCTCCCCACAGGAGCAGGAAGATGGCAGTGCAGGCAAGCGTGAACAGCCTCGTTCACATGCCTCAGAGTCTAAGCACCACTGGGCAGGAGTCTTTGGTTCAGGTTGTCCACAGGCACCCCCCACCAGACTGCCACTGCCGGGGCACAAAGCAGGTGCCCAAAAATATGTTCTGGGGCCCTCCCTGGTGGCGCAACTGGTTAAAGCACCGCATTACGAAGCTCTCCGAAGCCCCTGCAGCATGAGTTTGATCCCCGGCCAGGGAGCTGACCCACATGGCCCGCAGACCTCTCCTGCCCCGCCCGCTGCTCCCCTCAGCAGTGTACTTCGTTGATCTGCCTGTTCTGCTCCCCACTCTGTCTCTGGTGAGACCTCTCACCCACCACACCCTGGCCTGTACCCCAGTTCTGTGTGCATAAATAAATCTTTAAAAAATGTATGTTCTGAGTGAGTAACGGATGGAATGAGTCATGAATATGGTCCCCGTGGCCTCTTCCCATGCAGCAAACTAAAAGGGTTGATGAGGAAAGGAAGAGTGAGCTGTACTGTACACTACAGACGGAACATTAGACAAGGCTTGCTGCGAAATAAAAATGAACACTAAGCACCGAGCACTACTCGTATCCAGTCTACAGAGTCATACACAAGGTGGTTAAACTCATCTTTTTTGAGCATAGAAAAATATTAATTCTGCTGCAAACACAGCAGACTTCTTCAAAGAAGTGACTGTGGAGCAGACCGCGCGTCTTTTCGTTAAGTGGAAACTTTGAGCTTCCATGTGGGCCTTGGCCAACGCGCCTCGTCTCCCCAGAGGTGCTGGAGCCTTTGTCCTCGCTGACCACACAGAGACTGCCTCCTCACCCTGAAGCCCCTGTGAGCAACCATACAGCCCTCTGCCCTCAGGAGACACACTGTACATGCTTTCTGGACTGAGACTCTTGAAACGATTCTGTTTCTGGGCTGTTGTCTTTGTTTACTTTCCGGAGGGAAGAACCACTGCCTCACTCGCTGGCTGGTATCTGACACACAGGCCCCGCAGGGGTCCCCCAGCACTCCCACCGCCAGGGCACCGCCGTCCTCCAGCAGTTCTTCCCACCACCTGTGGTACCCACTTCCCTCCCCCTCCGAAAGTCGAAGATCTATGGTCAGTTTTTAAGGATTGTTTTTAAAGTCTGTCTTTGTTTGGATTTTCTATATTCCACCCGTAGGTGACACCAGTCACTGTTTATCTTTCTCCTACTGGCATCTTTCGCTCAGCCTAAGTGCTCCCAGCTCCGGCCAAGGTGGTCTGATGGCTGAGCAGGGTCCCGTGTACAGGCACTACCTGTTCTCGGCTTTCACCTGCTTTCGACAGTTAGGCTGCTATTATAAATGCTGCTGCTATAAGCACAGGAATGCAAAATTCCTTTCAAATTAGGTTTTGTATTTTTGGGGTAGATACTAGGAGTGGAAGTGCTGGGTTGTTTGGAATATCCAATTTTAGTCTTCTGGGAAAACTCCACGCTTTTCCATGGGGCTAGACCAGCCTACATTCCCACCAACAGAGGACTGGTTTCCTTTCTCTTTAGGTAGAAACTCTTTCATCCACATCTTCCTCTAAGAGCAAGGGTGTTGTAAGGCAGTGTCCAAATTTTGAAACAAGCCTCTCTGTCTCTCTCTCTCACACACACCCCGTGTGCTCCACCGTGCACAGTACACACAGCCTCAGCACCACGAGCTAATACACTTATACCAGCCTCAAACTTATGCAAGCTGACAGTACTTGGTTTTTCTTGAAATCTTAAGTCAGTATAAGAAAAGTGAAAGAATAAAGTAGGAAATCAAGTAAAGCTGAAATAAAATAACAAGTGGGAAAAAGATGCACTCTGTTTCTCGTGAAGCCTCTCACTGCCCCTGCACCTCTGGCCTGTGCCCCAGTTCTGTATGCATAAATAAACAAGTCGTTAAAAAAATATTTTTAAATAAAAATGTATATTGGAATTTACAACAGAATAAGAGCAAGGTTAGGATGTTCAGTTTAACAAACTTTTATTGTTAAATGTAACTGAAAGCCTGTGCAGTCAGCAAAGTACTTCTAACATTTGGCAGAGACATCAGAAAGAAGGAAAGTGTACTCTGCTCTCTTTTTTCCCAGCTAATCCCTAATATGAACATATTTGCGAAGTGGTTTTTAAAGTTTTGAAGCCCTATAGGATGACCAGGTTTATAGCCCTATATCCTAAATTATTCTTCTCACCTATAAATTTTTCTACTTGTTAGTAAACCAATTGATAACCAAATGGCAACTAGAGAAAAGGGTATTTAAATCAGGTCTACAGTAACTTTTTTGGAACTAGAAGCATAGCACTTTAAAAACAAAATAAACTGGAGAATTAAAATATCCAACACCAAGCAGTTATGTGACTTACAAACACCACAGAAAAACCAGATACTGGGCCCTCCCTGGTGGCGCAGCGGGTTAAAGCACAGCACTGAGAAGCTACAGCCACTTCCGCATGAGTTCGATCCCCGCCTGCCCCGGAGGTGACCACATGGAGAGGCAGACCTCTCCTGACCCGCCCGCTGCTCCCCTCAGCAGTGTTCTTCGTTGATCTGCCTGTTCTGCTCCCCACTCTGTCCCTGGTGAATCCTCTCACCCTCCGCATCTCTGGCCTGTATCCCAGTTCTGTATGAATAAATAAATAAATCTTTAAAAAAAAAACAAAAACCAGATACTGATCTCTCAAACATTGTGATTTAAAAGCCAACTTTTGAAGACAAGGACACCAATGAGAAAACACTGTAAGATATAATATTCTCCCTAACTTTAGAGTGATCAACTTCTAACTTGCTTATTTCAGTTTTCTTTGTAATATTTATACCCTGTAAACTGCAGAAAAATGTGCTTGAATAAAGAAATTTAAATCTTATTTACAGCTCAAACAATAGGCATTTGGGGTGATGTCCTTGTACAGTTTCCAAATAAGAAACTAACTTTTCACTGCAACATTTGTTTCCATGGTATAAAAGGGGCCGGCTCAAATGCAGTATCAACATCTCTTAGATTTCCACTTGTGCTTTAAACAGGCATATGAAAAAATGCTCAGCATCACTCGAAATAAGGGAGATGCAAATCAAAGCCACAATGGGATACCACCTCACCCCAGTGAGAATGGCACATCTTCAAACACCTAGCACAACAAATGTTGGCGAGGATGTGGAGAAAAAGGAACTCTCCTGCATTGCTGGTGGGAATGCAACTAGTACAACCACTATGTGTGGAGGTTTCTCAAGCTGCTAAAAATGGAGCTTTCATATGACCCAGCAATTCCACTCTTAGGTATCTACCCAAAGGACACAAACACACTATTTCAAAAGGACATTTGCACCCCTATGTTACTTCTGCTCTATTTACAATAGGGAGACATCGAATCAATCCAAATGCCCCAAAACAGATGACTGGATCAAGATGTGGCATATACACACAATGGAATGTTACTCAGCGACCAAAAAAGATAAACTCATGCCATTTGTGGCAACATGGACGGAGCTGGAAAAGATCATGCTTAGTGCAATAAGCCAGAAAGAAAAGGAAAAATACCAGCTGGTTTCACTCATAGCAGGAGTGTAAGGGGTCAGGGGGTAAAAATACATACATACATCTATACATGTATATATGTACACACACACAGCAACGGTAATAAAATTAAAACAGACATCAACTAACAACTATAAACCAGACACATCCCACCGGGTGGAGAGGGGAACAGGATCAAAACTGGGGCAGGGCGCCTGTGTGGACTATGGGTGAGTGGGCAGCCCGCAGCGGAGATGAAAAACTGTACGAGCCGAAGAAAGATGTAAAAGACACAGACAGACATCTAAACAAACAGCAAAGGCCAGTGGTGAAGCCCCCTGCCTGCGCCCCGCCGTGGCCGCGTGAAGCCCCCCCCTCCCCCGCCTCCCACGGGCAGACACCACCGCAATCCGCGCTCTGGAGAGGCCGCGGGCCTGGCGCGCGCAGTTACCCAGGAGGAGTGCTCCTTCATCTGGTGCTGGTTGCTGTGGGGGCCGCTGGCGTGGCCGCGCCAGAAGCAGCTCTGGCAGAGCTGGTAGCCGTGGCACTGCTGGCAGCGGTAGCGGAAGCCCATCATGCTCTCGCGGCGGCAGTAGGAGCACTCGACGGGGTGGAAGACTGAGCCGGCCGGGCGGGCGGCGAGAGCAGGGAGAGAGAGACACAGTGTTCACTGGGGGCATGAAGTCAGTGAAAAACCGCCCCTCGTGCAAAAAACAGACCTGAGCAAACATGGCTCAGGAATCTACACGGTCTCCAGGCCAACCCACCCCATCGCCTCCAGTCAAAAGGACTAGAAGGGAAAGACTCGGAGGCAGTTTTTCATGTTAGAATAGTACATTCCAGGCCACCAATTTCTATCTTTAAATAATATGTGTTTCCCAAAGTCAGGTAAGTATACGAGGAGAAAGGCTCTCCAAAACTACTTGCCCAAACATACTGCTGTTCCTGCTAGATCTTATTGTTAGTTGTGCATATTTATTTCACTGAAAAATCCGAGAGAGCCAGAACCACTGCTGTGTGTCTTTAGTGCCTACAACTTGTATTTTCCTCAGTATTTTGGACCTAAGTCTCCTATTCTTTTGGTAAAAGATTTATTTATTTATGCATACAAGAAGTGGGGTATAGGCCAGAGGTGTTGCGTAGGGGTGACAGGATTCATGAGAGACAGAGTGGGGAGCAGCACAGGCAGATAGGCTGAAATACACTGCTGAGGGGGGGCAGTGGGTGAGACTGGAGTGGTCTGCTGTGCCCTGTGGGTCACTCCCTGGCCAGGAACTGAACTCGTGTCCCAGTGGCTGGTGCTAGCTTGATAATGCTGTCTTTAACACCGGTCAGGGGGATGGGAAGCCAGGTGGAAAAACAAGAGACCCAGGAGGGAAGGACGCACATCTGTGCTGGCTCCACTGGATTTTGGTGGAAGTATCCTCCGGGGAGAGTCTCACACGGCAGTTACCGTATTATGTCTGTACCTTTACACCAGCAAACCAACAGGAAAAGCACAACTTTTGCTTAAGCAAATGAATATTTGAAAATTAACTTCCTTATGAAAACTAACTTCGATGCAATTCAAATAGTGAATAGAAGAGGAAGTCAAATGTCTAAACGACAAAAAACTAAAATGACAATAATTTTATTATTTGTTTCCCACCATAAAATTATCTATTTCATGTTTATGTGGAACACAGAGAAACAAAACAAAGGGCCAGACAGAACCAAACCGGTAACAAGCCCTAGAAATCAGCCTGGAGAACTGAGGCAGGGGGCATGAAGATCAGGGCGTGAGGCAGGGGGCATGAAGATCAGGGCGTGTCAGGCCCACACACCGTGGGGGGGGTCTCGGCCGGTGTGATGTGGCGAGATACCTGAAGAGGTGTGGGTTATCACTCAAATCACACACAGTGTTGCAAACCAACATTACCTCCATTTAAACAAATCGATTGCAAAACAACTGTGGGCACAGTGGTCAGTAGTGCCTATCTCCAGTATTTTAGAGCTCTGGTCTTTATAAATTGGAGGGGAAAGGGCGTGTGGCTGAATCTGGAGAGCGCAAGCAGAACAACCAGGAGGCTCAAGGGAGAGCCTGGCTTATGGCCCTACATTACCACCTCTCAGCAGCCTAAGTAATTACCCTTTCCTTTTTTTTTTCTTGTTTGAGAAATAAATATTCCCTTTTGAAAGCTGAAAACACAAATTCAAATAACACAGCATCAGCAAATGTCAGCTAATTTCCAACGGTAACAGCTAAGGACATGACAAAGAACGCCAGTGGCATAAGGAACTGAATCCCAAAAGCCTGCTCACCATTCTCCACGTGGGCGAGCCTGTGAATGAGAGGCAGCCAGACAAGGCACTGGGGCGGCGGGTCGGCCATCATCGTGTCTAAAAACATATTGAGCATTATCTTTTTCTGTGAAGAGAAGAAACACAATTATATATTTTCAACTGTCTCTGACATCCAGGATTAGGTTAATTGTAGGGTCTCCCGATCAAGCCTGAATGAATTACAAGCGAAATTTTACAGCAAAACAAAAGAGTATGGGGCATTACTGCAGATGTACTACACCACACTGCGGTATTCAAAGCCTTTTCCTTGTACATTCTTTGACTTGAGCCTTAGAACAACTACATCAGGCAAATCAAACAGGTACTACACCTTGATAATACAGATGCAATAACAAAGGGAGCACAGTATTTAAATGACTTGCGAAGGTGCTACCCAAATCACACCCAGAGCCAGACTGGAACTCAGGTGTCCTTCAAATTTCTGTGACTGTTACCCCATGGGGGAGACAGACTCACACACACAACTATGAAACAACATTATGGGAGAAAGAGCGCTGGTCAGGGTGTCCACAATGTCCATGGCACCCCAGCAATGTCTGGCACACAACAGCACTTTATAATCAGTAGTCGGAGATCAATAACAGGATAAATAATAAATAAAGGGCCCCCGGGGGCAGGGAGGTGACCCAGCATTCAACTTCGTTTAATGACTTTTCATTCACAGCAGAAAAACAGAACGTTCAAAGTAGTGAAATTTGTCCACATTGCAGCAACTGCGGTAAGTGGGCCGCCGTGCTAACTACATGTTCTGCCTCCTGCCACTTCCCCACTGCTCTGTATCTTTCACTGGCTCTTGAGCAACGACATGCTGCACTTCCGCAGTATGTGAAACAGGACAGAACTGTGTCCTACAGGGACATCACAAAGTAGAAAATGGTCTAGGAAGTCATATAATGTAAATTCTCAACAATGCTCCCAACGGATCAATCTAACTGCTATTTCCTCCTACCTATGAAACACCTTTCCAACTCCAACAGGAAAGGAAAAGGCAGATGTGAGAGCTCTGTACCCACAACTGGACACCCAGGCTCCAACTTCAAACTTTATTCCAGAAGAAGAAAAAAGACAAGAGGGCAGTTATCAGGTCCTTTCCACAACCCGGTGGCACCAGTCAGAGGAGGGAAGGGGTGCTGAGGACTGGAAGTAGGGTGAGGCCAAAAGGCACCCAGAATTTTCATTTCACTCTCTCCTAAGTAACTGTGTTCTCAGTACTACCACTTTTCTTGCAGTGAAAAATGGTATAAAAAAGTTTAGCTGCGGGCCCTCCCTGGTGGTGCAAAGGGTTAAAGTGCAGGACCATGAAGTCCTGACCCACATGGTGGCAGACCTCTCCTGACCGCCCGCTGCTCCTGCTCCCCTCAGCAGTGTACTTCGTCCATTTGCCTGTTCTGCTCCCCACTCTGTATCTGGTGAAGCCTTTCACCACCCCAGCACAGAAATTTAAGTGCTTTATTTTGGGGGCTGGGGGGGAGAACTGGAGAAGGTAGAAAAGATTCAATAAGTTAGAACTAGCCTAAGAGTCTGCCAACTGATTAGAAAATAACTCCCTGGTGGCACAGGAGTTATGTCTCAGCACTATCAATCTATCACCAGCCACTGCAACATGAGTTTGATCCCGGCCCAGGGAGTTGACCCACAGAGCACTGCAGACCTCTCCTGATCCGCCCACTGCTCCCCTCAGCAGTGTGTTTCAGTTAATCTGCCTGTTCTGCTCCCCACTCTGTCACCCTCTCACTCCCCTAACCTCTGCCTGTACCCCAGTTCTGTATGCATAAGTAATTTTTTTAAAAAATAAAAGAACTTTGATTAGTGATAGACCATGAACATTCTGAACATGAAGTAGAAATGGCACTCCATCAGAACACCCCAGTATCTCCCCAACAACAGCTCCCATCACCCCAAACCCAGACTACACAGACTTACTTCTGTGTGACTTGTCAGCAACTGTGAGAACCGTGACTCTGGCATACGTAAATGGGTAAGTGGGAAGTCATTCTTAACTAAAACTCTTTTCTAAAAAGAAGAAACTGGTAAGGAGTAGAAATGGGAGGGAAAGCAGCAGAGAGTGGCTTTTGCAATAAAAGCAAAGCAGAGAACAGGTGAAGGGCAGGGGAGGCGCCCTCAGGCCCCGGCAGAGCTGGGCACTGGAGAAAGTACTCACATGGCCCAAGAGGGCGGCTAGGCGTTTCCTGTCTTACTGTCCGAGTCACCAATGCTGCTCAGTGCTCGGTGGAGTCTCAGAGAAAGGAGTGAAGGGCAATTTGAAAACTAAACCAGAAAGTCACCACACTTTAGTGGAAATCCAGACATGAAAATGCTTCTTATTATGGATATGCCAGTAACACAACCAATGTGAACTTAAAATTATAGATTGAGCGTCATTGAGAAAAAAGATGCTGAAATGTTTAAGCTCAGTAAAAGGTGGTAAACAAAAACTAAATGTATGATATCAACTACAAATTATATTTGTTAAAAACTATGTATTTATAGGGCCCTCCCTGGTGGCACAACGGGTTTAAGCAGCATTACGAAGCTGGCCACAGCCCCCTGGATGCAAATTCAATCCCCACCCCAGAGCTGACCCACATGGCTCGGCAGACCTCTCCTGAGCCGCCTGCTGCTCCCCTCAGCAGTGTACTCTATCATTCTGCCTGGTCTGCTCCCCACTCTGACTATGGTGAATCATAGCACTACCTGTACCTCTGGCCTGCACCCCAGTTCTGTAAGCATAAATAAATAAATCTTAAAAACAAAAACAACCAACCAAAAAAAAAAAAAAAAAACGGGAGCTCCCTGGTGGCGCAGCGGGTTAAAGCACTGCACTAAGAAGCTAAAGCCACTTCCGCATGAGTTCGATTCCCGCCTGCCCCGGAGGTGACCACATGGCGTGGCAGACCTCTCCTGACCCGCCCGCTGCTCCCCTCAGCAGTGTGCTTCGTCGATCTGACTGTTCTGCTCCCCACTCTGTCTCGCCACCCCTGAACCTCTGGCCTGTACCCTAGTTCTGTGTGCATAAATAAATAAATCTTTAAAAAAAAAAAAACTATGTATTTATAAATCCACCTCTGATACTCTAGAGTTTTGATTGGCCTATCATGGAGTTGTTTTCTTTTTAATCTTCAAGGTGAAAGGGAAAAATTACATTTAACATCTCACAAAATTCTCATCAATACACTGAGGATCAGTTTCTAAAATTGCCCTAAAGTCATACTGTCATTTGAAGTCCTCCAAAAGTATGAGGGATGAAACCAGAAGAACATACCCTATTGCTCTGGCTTCCATTAACCATGGGTTTGGGGAACAAACATTATGGTTTCAGTTTTCCTGGATTTCAAGGACTGGAACAGTGGTTCTTAAGTGTGGTCAGCATGTTGCCAACCCCCTACCTAAAACATTTTCAGGGAATCCACGAAAAATGACTTTCATCATAATACTGAGACATTATTTGTCTTTTCAATCTCATTCCCTCATTAGCGTACAATAGGTCTTTGCTGAGGCAATGTGTCCCAGCCACAAATTTCTGAAAAAGCTATTAAAACACTCCTCCCTTTTCCAACTACACATCTGTTGGAGATCAGATTTTCTTTCTGTATTTTACACAAACAACAGATCACAGAGACAGAATGGGTAAGAAAGTAAAGAATCCAACTGTCTCCATTAAGCTGATATCTGAAATATTATAGAAATTTGCAAAAGTATAAAACAATGGCACTCGTTAAATTTTGGGGGCAGGCCCTCCCTGGGGGCGCAGCAGTACTGCCAAGCTGGCCACAGCTGCTTGGGTGTGAGCTCCACCCCTACCCAGGAGGTGACCCACATGGCACGGAGACCTCTCCTGTCTCGCCCATTGCTCCCCTCAGCAGTGTACTTTGTCAATCTGCCTGTTCTGCTCCCCACTCTGACCATGGTGAATCTTCTCACTGCCTGTGCCTCTGGCCTGTACTCCAGTTCTGTATGCATAAATAAATCTTAAAAAAAATAAATAAATTTTGGGGCAAATTTTCAAAAATTTTATTTATGATATGTAATAGGTTTATCATTACTATTTTTTAAAAAAAATAAATGTTTATTTTAAATGTCTCTCTTTTTTAGATTTATTTATGCTTATAAAACTGGGTGCAAGCCAGAGGTAAAGGGGTGATGAGAAGATTCACCAGAGACAGAGTGGGGAGCAGAACAGGCAGACAGACAAGGTACACTGCTGAGGGGAGCAGCGGGCGGGTCAGGAGGGGTCTACTGGGCCATGTGAGTTACCTCCAGCAGCAGAGCAGCTGCTGCTTGCTTGTAGTGCTGTGCTTTAGCCCATTGCACCATCAGGAAGAGCACTTTAAATGTCTCAATTTTAATATCTAATATAGAAATACTGACTAGAGATAACCTGTAAAAACAATGCAATATAAACTGTCTGGAATTTTCATTAGTCTCTAATGTAAGGAGGCCCTAAGAGCAAAAATTTGAGAACTGTCAGGGAAGAATTCCAGTTCTAAAATTCTATGATTTGTTCCCTAAATAACTGGTGAAAAACAGATTGACTTTTTTTCTTCTACTTCATTTGGTTTTGCTCCAAATTGAATACATTCTTTGAACTTCTTATTTTTTATAGCACAATGTTTATAACGAAAACTACAATAAAATTTCTTCAAATATATATATTCCCCCCCACAATTTTCATGTTGAGGGATTTCCCTCAAATGTATGTATGTTGCTATATATTTACATACATAGGGTGGATAAAAACATACAATCTGTTGTTTTACTTAAAGCCTTACGAGATATTTCGTAGTTTCATGACAAGGTCTTTCTTTCTAATCACGGTAACAGTTGGGTGACCCATTTAAGCCAACACATGGTTTAATTACACCTTGTAGCCACGTTCATGTCTTTCCTTAGGAACAAGTTTCTCTTTGTCTGCTGTTCCTGCCCTTGTCATTCTAATCCTCATGCTGCCCATTACGACCCTCATGCCATCTTTACTCCCCTCCTTCCACCCTGAGGACAGCCTCCCAACTTTAAAGGGGAGAGGAGCCATCTCTTAAAATGAGAAATCCAGTATCATTAAAATAA